AGAACCATTCCTGATGTCAGTGTGTTAAGGACTCATTGCCAGAATTCTAGGTTCTAGTTAGAAGAGCATCATTCTCATCATGGCTTCCATATGCAGTCACATTCTGACTTAGTTTTAAAATAGTAATGTGGCATAGATTTAATAGTTGAAAGGGCAAGCTCTTAAGTGTTTTCCATGTGGATTTTCCATACTGAGTTGTAAATAGATGATCAAAAAAGGAATTTTACCCTGGCAAAACAGTGCACAGTGAGGTTTCTCAGACATAAAGTGAAGTGACTTCTCTGGGTAGACCGGATTTAGATGATAACGGAATGACAACTTTTATAAACTGACTGCATACACAGCTGGACAAGAACTACTCGATTCTGGTTGTTTGATCTGTTAATTTGGTCTCTTCATGCATTTATTCATGCATGTTCCAGACTTCCAGTTCCAGGTGATGCATTAAGCCAGATTGGCTAAAATGATAGAAGAGAAAAATTATGAATGTTGGAGAGGATGTGGAAAAATTGGGACACTAATTCCTTGTTGGTGGAATTATGAACTGATCCAACCATTCTGGAGAGCAAACTGAAATTATGCCCAAAATTAGTAAACTACCTATATACTCTTTGATCCAGCAATACCACCACTTGGTCTCTTTCCAAAGATAATTAGGGGAAAAGGGAAAGAATCTCTATATATCTAAGTATTTATAGCACTCTCTAGATGGTGGCAAAGAACTGGAAATTGCAGGGATGCCCAGCAATTGGGGAAATGGCTGAACAAGTTATGGTATATGATTGTGATGGAATACTACTGTGCTATAAAAAATTATGAACTCAATGATTTAGAAAAATAGGGAAACACTTGCGTGAAATAATAAAAAGTGAAATGAGCAGATCCAAGGGAGCATTGTGTACAGGAACAGCAATGTTGTTTTAAGAACAGCTTTGAGCAATTAAATAAATTATTTTCTCTATTATAAATATACAAATTGACTATAAAGGACATATGAAGAAAGACACTATCTGCATCCAGATAAAGAACTGATAAATAGAAGTATCTATAGAATAATTTTACATATATGTATACATATATGTACCTATTTGTGTCTAATGGTAGCCATCTCTGGGAGGGCGAAAGGAAGAAGAAATAAATTTACATGATAATTTTGTTGTATATTTGAAAGCAATAGCAAGTTGTGTATAATAGATTTGCAGTTTCACGTACCATCATCTTTTTATTGTACTATGTTATGGAAATGCTTATTGTATTCCATAAATTAAAAATTAAAAAAATTAGCGAACCTAAGAAATTAGATTAGACTTAAAATAGCAGAGCATTAATCTAGCTACTGTTTGTTTTTATGCTAAAACAGACTGTCTTTTTAGGCATGTAGAGAATTCTCTGACATTCTAGCAAGGTGATGATGATTAATGCTAATGGGCCATAACAAATTTTGTCAGCCTTTACTTTCTCATATTAAGATTCCTACAACAGGAAATTTGGAAGGAGGCCAGTGTTGGGCATCGGGCAGAGTATCATGTAATAAAGTGTTGCCATCAGAGCTTTGGAGTAGGAATTGCTTCATTTCTTATATTTTGTATCCCCCAGAACTTAGCACAGTGCCTGGCATGTAGTGAGCCTTTAATAAAGTCTTGTTGATGGATTTGATTGGTTAATTCAACAGTGTCTTTCTTCCTTCTCTTCCTAGACTTGATTTGAGGGTAAATAGTCAAAGAAATATTTTTCATAGATATGTGGTCTAGAATAGCGAAATATTCTAAGAATTAACTCCCTTTACAAAAATTCCTATTTATATTATTCTTTGAGATTTGTAACATATTAATAGAGGTAGCCTTTTTTTTTAAGCATATGTTTTTAAAACTTTAGGTTTCAAATTTTCTCTCTTCCTCCCTCCCCACCCACGCTCATTGAAAAGGCAAGCAACTCAATATAGGTTATACATGTGCAATTATGCAAAACACTTCCATAGTAGACATGTTGTGAAAAACTAACTCTATTTCCCTTAATCCTGTCCTGCCCTCCCATTTATTCTATTCTTTCTTCCCTCCACAGAAGTATTTACTTCTGATTACACCCTTTCCCAGTCTGCCCTCCTCTCTTTCATGCCCCTGCTCTCTTGTTCCCTTCTCCCCCTATTTCCTGTAGGGTAAGACAGATTTCCATACCCAACTGAATGTGTATGTTATTCCCTCCTTAAGCCAAATCCTATGAGAATAAGATTCACTTATTCCCTCTCACCTTCCCCCCTTTCCCCTCCACTATAAGAGACTTTTCTGTGTTTTTTTTTTTTGTGAGATAATTAACCCCATTCTAACTCTCCCTTTCTTCTTCTCCGAGTATAATCCTCCCCTCATCCCTTAATTTTGTTCTCCAGATATCACCCCTTCATCTTCAATTCACCCTGTGCCTTCTATCTATCTATCTATATATATATATACATACATATAATTTTTTTCTTCCAACTACCCTAATACTGACAAAGGTCTCATGAGTTATAAATATCATCTTTCCATGCAGGAATGTAAACAGTTCAATCTTAATAAGTCTTATGATTTCACTTTCCTGTTTACCTCTTCATGTTCCACTTGAGTCCTGTATTTGAAAGTCAAATTTTCTATTCAGCTCTGGTCTTTTCATCAGGAATGCTTGAAAGTCCTCTATTTCACTGAATGACCATTTTTTCCCCTGAAGGATTATACTCAGTTTTGCTGGGTAGGTGATTCTTGGTTGTAATCCTATCTCCTTTGCTCTCCAGAATATTATATTCCATGCCTTGAGGTCCTTTAATGTAGAAGCTGCTAAATCTTGTGTTATCCTGATTGTGTTTCCACAGTACTTGAATTGTTTCCTTCTGGCAGCTTGTAATATTTTCTCCTTGACCTGGGAACTCTGGAATTTGGCTACAATATTCCTAGGAGTTTTCCTTTGGGGATCTCTTTCAGGAGGAGATCTGTGGATTCTTTCATTTCTATTTTGCCCTCTGGTTTCCTTGATAATTTCTTGAAAGATGATGTCTAGGCTCTTTTTTTATCATGGCTTTCAGATAGTCCAATAATTTTTAAATTCTCTCTCCTGGATCTATTTTCCAGGTCAGTTGTTTTTCCAATGAGATATTTCACATTGTTTTCTAATTTTTCATTCTTTTGGATTTGTTTTACAGTGTCTTGATTTCTCATAAAGTCACTAGCTTCCAATTGCTCTATTCTAATTTTTAAGGAAGTATTTTCTTCAGTAACTTTTGGACTTCCTTTTCCATTTGGCCAATTTTTCTTTTTAGGGCATTTTTCTCCTCATTGGCTTTTTGGACCTCTTTTGCCATTTGGGTTAGGCTATTTTTTAAGGTGTTATTTTCTTCAGTATTTTTTTGGGTCTCCTTTAGCAAGCTGTTGACTTGTTTTTCATGATTTTCTTGCATCACTCTCATTTCTCTTCCCAGTTTTTCCTCTGCTTCCCTTACTTGCTTCTCAAAATCCCTTTTGAGCTCTTCCAAGGCCTGGGACTGATTCATATTTTTCTTGGAGGCTTTGGATGTAGGAGCTTTGACTTTGTTGTCTTCTTCTGGTTGTATATTTTGATCTTCTTTTTCACCAAAGTAAGATAATATAGTCTGACTCTTTTTGCGCTGCTTGCTCATGATCCCGGCCAATTACTTGAGTTTTAAACTCTTTGTTAAGGTAAGAGTCTGCTTCCAATGTGGAGAGTGTACTGTCCCAAGCTTCAGGGGTTTGTATAGCTGTTTTCAGAGATACTTGTAGGGACCTGTAAATTTTCAGTTCTTCCAAGGTGGTATGATAAGGGGTGAGGTGTTTACTCCTTTCCTGGCCTGTGACCACAAGTACTCCTTTCTGTCCTGTAACTGAGGAGGGGTTCCTCTCTACAGCCACTACAAGCTCTACCACGTCAGTGTTCCTCCTCACCCCAGGACTACCGCCCAGAACTGTGACCCAGATCCAAACACGGACAAAGCAAGAGATTCCTGCCTCAGCACTGGTAAAGAGATCCCTGCAATCCCTCTCTGATCAGCCACTGGATTCCCCCTCAGTCTGCGGGAAGCTCGGGAAGCAGCCGCCCCCCTCCCCCCCCCCCCGCCACGCTGTTGGGGAATGGAGCTGAGATCCCGCCTTCTTCTCTGAGCACTGACAGAAACAGACTTTTCCCACTGACCTTCTAAGTTGTCTTTGGCATTTGTAGTTTGAGGAGTCTGGAAATCTCCACAGCTGTCCGAGATTCAGGTCGCTGTGGACTGTGCCCCCACGCCGCGCTGCTCTGTGCTCCCAGCCCGGTGCCATACACCTTTCTGATCAGGTTGTCTTGGGCTGGAAATTTGTTTCACTCTGTCTTTTTGTGGGTTCTGCTGCTTCAGGATTTGTTTAGAGCCATTTTTTATGAGTATTTGGAGGGGTTTGGGGGAGAGCTCAAGCAAGTCACTGCTTTCACTCTGCCATCTTGGCTCTGCCCCCTGAGGAGTCTAGAGGCAACCTTTCTAAGTTGACATCTAACTTCCAAGAAAAGGAGAGATGAAGTTGGCAGGGATAACCAACCCTTTAATTTTGCAGACGAAGAAACTGAGGCCCACAGAATCTAAGTGACTTGTCTACTATTACTTAGGTTATAAATTGCAGGGTTACAATTTCAGCTATGGTCTTCCTATTCCAAATCCAGTGCTCTTTCCACACTGTGCTATTTATAAATCTATTTTAATATAAAAGATCTGCTAGCTTAGCACTATATTGAAATTAGTTAAACTTAATTAAAAGTAGCTGATATTTTGGAACATTTATGTGTGTGAACGTGTTTGTGTATACCTCAAAGTCTCTTTAACTTATACCTTATGTTACTTCGAAGTACAGTTTGTAATTATTAAAGGTAACTTGAGAATCTGAGAAATGCATTGTATAATAGTGTTTCGTTTATTTGACCTGAACATGGTAGTCAGAATAGGAAGCTGATGGAAAATATATGAGTCTTAAAGAGTATTTCGTTTCTTTAAGGTGGGAAGATCAACAGAGAGCCCAATAGACTTTGTGGTAACAGACACAGTTTCTGGCAGTCAAAACAGTGATGAAACCCAGATCACGCAAAGTACCATATCCAGGTTTGCCTGTAGGATTGTCTGTGACAGGAATGCACCCTACACAGCACGGATTTTTGCAGCAGGATTTGATTCTTCCAAAAACATCTTTCTTGGAGTAAGTATTATTACTGTCTGGGTTGTATGCAATCAGAACGGGCCATGGTTGTCACATATAATATGCAGTTGTATTAATAAAATAATTTGCTTAATACTATGTTATATTTTAAAGTTTTAGTTCTTTAAGTAGTAAATTTTTTCTTAAAGGAAAATATAGTAATAAATTCTGTTAATAAGGGTTGATCTTAAAGACAGGAGAGTTTATTTCAGAGAAATTGTTAAATATTAATGAATATGATATGAAGTATACTGTACTTCCCCTTGCACATAGCTGAAGTGTTCATGTGGTTCCTGTTGTATCAAAGGCATTTGTACCTGGGGTCTTTTGGATAGCTAACTTTGGTTTAAAGGAAAGAATTGTGATTTAGATGGTAGGATCATAGACTTAGAACTCAAAGCAGTTAAGAATTCAGTTGTCACTAATTAAAATTTTAAACTAATTATCCACATAGCCTTAGTTTTCTCTTGCGAAAAGGAGAATTATTATGTTTGTTGTCTTCCTACTTTGCTGTCTCCCAAGATAATTGTGAAGAATAATGATTCTATATTAAGGAAGTTGAGATCCTAAAATAAAAGTAGTGACTAGTTGGAGTTTCGTTATACACTAGACAAACTATTTGTCCACTTTGTTTTCTCTAATGCTCAGGTTAAATGAATTAATTTTTTAGCATGTTACTGGCTATCTAACCATAGACACAAAATAACAACTAAACTTGGGCAGAAAACTTGTATAACCAGAACTCATGTGTTTTTAAAGGAAAGTCTACTTTCTTTCCCAGTGGTGTGATGTGTATATTTTACAGGAAAAGGCAGCAAAATGGAAGAATCCTGATGGACACATGGATGGACTAACTACAAATGGTGTTCTAGTAATGCATCCCAAAGGAGGATTCACAGAAGAGTCCAAGCCAGGAGTATGGCGTGAAATTTCAGTTTGTGGAGATGTATATACACTGCGAGAAACAAGATCAGCCCAGCAAAGGGGAAAGCTAGTGAGTTCAACTGTACAGAAATACTATCTTATAAAGAGTAATTATGAAGATCGTTACTTGCCATCCATGAAATTCGATATATGTGTGTGTATGTGTGTACAGTCATTTTATATATACGTAAATGTGCATTTACATATATATACCCGTGTGTGTGTCTGTGTGTGTGTGTGTGTGTGTGTGTGTGTGTGTGTGTGTGTGGTGTTTTCCCCAGTGTTCCTTCAGGGCAAAGACAATTTTTTGTCTTACTATCCCACAACACCTGTCATAGGATCTTGCATATTGGATAAATGCTTAATAAACATTCATTGAATCAGTGATCCTATGGTCCTCTGTTGAGCCTGGCTTGTTGTAGTGTTGGTTTTTAGTTTTTTATCTAAACATTTTTAAAAACTTTAATCTTAAAATGTACTAAATTGTGTGGTGATTGAACGGTGGGGAAACAAGATGGTGATGATTCATTACTAGTGCTCCCTGTTGTTGCTGCCCGTTTTTGTTTTAATTTTGATGATGTTAGCTACTCCCTAAACTTTTTTTTCCTTTAGTCAACTCTGGTATGGGTTCACCACTTCGCATTTCAGTTTTCTCCATAATCAAGTTGATTCAAGCATTTATTTAGCACCTGCTGTGTGCCAGGCACTGTGCCACGTTCTGGGGATACAAAGAAGGGCTGAGATAGTCTCTGCTCTGAAGGATCTCAGAGTCTAGTGGAGGAGAGAACATTCAGACAAGTATGCAAGAGCAAGCTATATGCTGGTTAAATTGGAGATAATCTCAGAGGGAAGGCACCAAGGTTAAAGAGGAACAGAAAAGGCTTTTTCAACAAAGTAGGACTTTTAACTCTGACTTGAAGGCAAGTCAGGCAGAGATGAAGAGTGAAAACGCCTGCGCTTGGTGGATGGATTATCATGTTCAAGGAACAGCGAGGAGATCAGTGTCACTTGAGTATCTTTCCATGGTCCTTATTTAGAAACCTCCTCATTACCTCACTTGGGGTTCTTTCCAATGATGGAGGATCCAAAAAACTACAGTGATTAAAATTAAGAATCAGTAAGTATATCTGGATGCAGTACAGACAGGGTCATTGGACTTCAATAACATATACACAGGGGGGCGGAGCCAGGATGGCGGAGTGAAAGCAGTGACTTGCTTGAGCTCTCCCCCAAACCCCTCCAAATACCTATAAAAAATGGCTCTAAACAAATTCTAAAGCAGCAGAACCCACAAAAGGACAGAGTGAAGCAAATTTCCAGCCCAAGACAACCTGGATGATTGATCAGAAAGGTGTATCACGCCGGGCTGGGAGCGCAGCATGGGCACACAGGCGCAGCAAACCCGGAGCAGGCCTCAGAGGACTGAATTGCGGACAGCTGTGGTGGTTTCCAGACTCCTCAATCCACAGATGCCAAAGACAACTGAGAAGGTCAGTGGGAAAAGTCTTTCTGTGGTGCTGAGAGAGGAGCATGGGGTCTCAGTTCCAGTTCCCTGTGAGTGTGGCCCGGGGGGGGGGCACTGCCTCCTGAGCTTCCGGCCCATAGACTGAGGGAGAATCCAGTGGCTGATCAGAGAGTGATTGCAGGGATCTCTTTACCAGTGCTGAGGCAGGAATCTCTTGCTTTGTCCGTGTTTGGATCTGGGTCACAGTTCTGGGCGGTGTCTGGGGTGAGGAGGATGCGTGGTGGAGCTTGTAGTGGCTGTGAGAGGAACCCCTCCTCACAGTTACAGGACAGAAAGGAATACTTGTGGTCACAGGCCAGGAAAGGAGTAAACACCTCACCCTTATCATACCACCTTGGAAGAACTGAAAATTTACAGGTCCCTACAAGTATCTCTGAAAACAGCTATACAAACCCCTGAAGCTTGGGACAGTACACTCTCCACATTGGAAGCAGACTCTTCCTTAACAAAGAGTTTAAAACTCAAGTAATTGGCCGGGATCATAAGCAAGCGGCGCAAAAAGAGTCAGACTATATTATCTTACTTTGGTGAAAAAGAAGATCAAAATATACAACCAGAAGAAGACAACAAAGTCAAAGCTCCTACATCCAAAGCCTCCAAGAAAAATATGAATCAGTCCCAGGCCTTGGAAGAGCTCAAAAGGGATTTTGAGAAGCAAGTAAGGGAAGTAGAGGAAAAACTGGGAAGAGAAATGAGAGTGATGCAAGAAAATCATGAAAAACAAGTCAACAGCTTGCTAAAGGAGACCCAAAAAAATACTGAAGAAAATAACACCTTAACAAATAGCCTAACCCAAATGGCAAATGAGGTCCAAAACGCCAGTGAGGAGAAAAATGCCCTAAAAAGAAAAATTGGCCAAATGGAAAAGGAAGTCCAAAAGGTTACTGAAGAAAATACTTCCTTGAAAATTAGAATAGAACAATTGGAAGCTAGTGACTTTATGAGAAATCAAGACACTGTAAAACAAATCCAAAAGAATGAAAAATTAGAAAACAATGTGAAATATCTCATTGGAAAAACAACTGACCTGGAAAATAGATCCAGGAGAGAGAATTTAAAAATTATTGGACTATCTGAAAGCCATGATTGAAAAAAAGAGCCTAGACATCATCTTTCAAGAAATTATCAAGGAACCAGAGGGCGAAAAAGAAATGGAAAGAATCCACAGATATCCTCCTGAAAGAGATCCCCAAAGGAAAACTCCTAGGAATATTGTAGCCAAATTCCAGAGTCCCCAGGTCAAGGAGAAAATATTACAAGCTGCCAGAAGGAAACAATTCAAGTACTGTGGAAACACAATCAGGATAACACAAGATTTAGCAGCTTCTACATTAAAGGACCTCAGGGCATGGAATATAATATTCTGGAGGGCAAAGGAGATAGGATTACAACCAAGAATCACCTACCCAGCAAAACTGAGTATAATCCTTCAGGGAAAAAAATGGTAATTCAGTGAAAGAGAGGACTTTCAAGCATTCCTGATGAAAAGACCAGAGCTAAATAGAAAATTTGACTTTCAAATATAGGACTCAAGTGGAACATGAAGAGGTAAACAGGAAAGAGAAATCATAAGAGCCTTATTAAGATTGAACTGTTTACATTCCTGCATGGAAAGATGATATTTGTAACTCATGAGAACTTTGTCACTATTAGGGTAGTTGAAGGAAAAAAAATTATATGTATGTACATATATAGAGATAGATAGATAGAAGGCACAGGGTGAGTTGAAGATTAAGGGGTCATATCTGGAGAATAAAATTAAGGGATGAGAGAGGATGATACTCGGAGAAGAAAGGGAGAGGTAGAATGGGGTAAATTATCTCACAAAAAAAAAAGAAAAACCTCTCACAGTGGAGGGGAAACAGGGGAAGGTGAGAGGGAATGAGGAATCTTATTCTCATAGGATTTGGCTTAAGGAGAATAACATACACATTCAATTGGGTATGGAAATCTGTCTTACCCTACAGGAAAATAGGGGGAGAAGGGGACAAGAGAGCAGGGGGATGATAGAGAGGAGGGCAGATTGGGAAAGGGGTAATCAGAAGCAAATACTTCTGAGGAGGGACAGGGTCAAAAGAAAGAATAGAATAAATGGGAGGGCAGGATAGGATTAAGGGAAATAGAGTTAGTTTTTACAACATGTCTACTATGGAAGTGTTTTGCATAACTGCACATGTACAACCTATATTGAGTTGCTTGCCTTTTCAATGAGGGTGGGTAGGAAGGGAGGAAGGGAGATAATTTGGAACTCGAAGTTTTAAAAACACATGTTTAAAAAAAATGTTTTCACATGCAACTGGGAAATAAGAAATACAGGAAATGGGGTACAGAAGTCTATCCTGCCGTACAGGAAAATAGAAGGGGAAGTGGATAAGAGAAGGAGGGGAGAGAAATAGAAGAGAGGGCAGACTAGGGGAAGGGGTATTCAGAACGCATGCCATCTTGGGGTGGGGGAAGGGGTGAGAAATTTGGAACTCAAAAACTTGTGGAAGTGAATGTTGAAAACTAAAAATAAATAAATTTATATTTAAAAAAATTTAAAAAAATAAAGAAAAAGAAAAGTCACTAAAAAAAAAGAAAAAGAAAAAAATAACATATACACATAAGTAATTAGTTACCGACTCTATTTCTATAACTCATTTTGCTTTGTGGCTCTGGAGTCCTCTGTATTGCTATTAATATCAGATAAAAATTGATGATTAGGGGTTTGGTTGATGATCTGTGACATTACTTTTCATTTGTAATCTAGCCCAGATAAGTTTGCAGATTAAATGGAAAGTGTTTGGTGACCTCCTAGATCCTGGTGTTAGCCAAATTTGCCAAATGGTCTGCTAAACTTCCAGTGTTTTTGTTTGTTATAATACCACTAGACAGTCCATAATATCCTTACTATGTAAAATCATTCCCGCTTTATTAGATGCTCCTTACTGCTGAGTAATGTTTGCTATGTGTTGTTGCCACACAAAGCATTTAATATATTTATCACAGTGAGAATGATATTAATAACACATCATCTGTGTGTTTTGAGCATTACAAAAATGATAGAAGTATGGAAGCAAGCCTGTACTTTATGAATGTAGTCCTTTGAAACATACATATGAGAAACTACTTTGAGGTTTGGGCCCATGTTAGTGAATGTTGTAGTAGTTCAAGTTTTGCCTTCAATTAGCTAGTTAATTATGATATTTCTATTTAGAAACTTATAGCAGAAGAATGTAGATAAGTTTAAATCTCTTTCAAGGATGCTAAAATTAACTAAATTATTTTAAAATACTTTTGCTAATTTTATGTATATTGCTGTTCCATTTTTATAAGACATATATTTTAATTGCCTCTTTTACCCTATAATCTGAAACTACTGTAGTCTTATGCAATTATAACTAGAGGATCCTGATATCAAAGCTTTTATCCATTATTTGGCAAAAGAAGAGATTGTGAACTATGCAGAATTGTTGAGGTGTTTTGTCTTTTCTTAGACAAATATTGGCTTCTACAATGTATTCTTTCTTAGTGTAAAAATCGTGTGTCTTTTACAGATACTGACA